GGAGCTTTAAAAGAACCGACACTTCGGACCCAGTCCTGGAGATTTTTATTAAATTGGTTTGGGATGGGACCTTAAGCAACTTTAAAAGAAGGAAAATAACTTTCTACTTGATCCTAATATACGGTCAAGGTTGGTTGGTAACAGCAGATAATACGTGGTTTTAGAAGGCAACGGGTGAGATCACCTTGGGGTGAACTTAGAAAAGATTGGGCTCGGAGCAGCTGAGGAAGGAGAAGCAGCACAGGAGGCTGGGAAGGAGCCTGACCCGGATTCCCCCGCCCCGTGGGGAGCATCGTTCCTGGACCTGCAGCCCAGCACCGCCTGGGAGCTGCCAGCCCCACGCAGCCAGAGTGACAGCAGCGCTCGGTGACGGCCGAGCCAGGGGGGTGCTCGCTAACGTCTGCAAGGCACCAGGTTTTATTTATTGTGTTATCGGGTATGAGCCCGGACCCCATTGCTCTGTCTCTGTGTCTGTCTTTCTCTCTCTGTATATATATGCGTATATACACATACGCATACTCATATATATGTATATATAAAGTGTACACAGCATATCAGTAACATTCCCACTTTGCCCCCTCGTCATTCAGGCTCTATGTCTCATAATAAATACAGACTTTTTAGTTTGCTGTCCTAAGTTCCTTGATGGGTATAAAAAAGGAGCACATGTATACCGTAAGTCCAATTGTTTAAGGAAAGAAAAGGACCTAAACTGTATCCACAGCCATGCTCCTTGCTTCTTTACAAGAACTTGAATGCGCTTATCAGTGTGATTTCACCCTGAGACCCAGGAGAGATTAAAATGAAGTGTGATGCGTGTCCTTGCAGTCAGATCAGTGATGATGGTGTGCTAGGACTGCTCTTACGTTTCCAGAAGGCTTTGTGAGAAAATAATGGCTTTATTTTAAACATAGAGAAATCTCGTCTCTCTGGTGAATCAAGTTTTTGTGACGGTGGTTCTAAGAATTGTTACTCTGTCAGCTTGCTAACTACCACCCCCCCCACCCCGACCCCGCTGTTTGAAAGTAGCTTGTCAGTGAGTAGATACCCGGTCGTCAGGAACACAGTTTGATTTCTTAAGTTCACACAAGAAGTAGGTATTTTTGAAGGTGACACGTCAGGTGACCGTCACGTATTTCACCGGTTCAGTAAACTAACCCTTTTTCATTTGAGGGAAGGTATGGATATTTAGGTTTTTATTTTCTCCAAAGCTGACATGTTTAACTCTGCTGCATCTCAGGGTCGCCATCAACTAGACACATTCTCGGGGCGAAATCATGCTGATTAGCGCATCCAAGTTCTTGTGAAGAAGTGAGCGAGGTTGTGGAGATAATTTAGGTCCCCTCCCCCCCTTCTTCTAAACTATTGGACTTACTGTATACATTTACTCCTTTTTTGTATTCGTAAAGGAACTTAGCCCAGCAAACCAACAAGTCTGTATTTGTCATGAGATAGAGCCTGAACGACAAGGGGGCAAAGTGGGGACGTTACTGATGCTCTGCTGATACTGCATTGAAGTATGAGAGTCGATTATTTATGCGACTGAATATCCTTATCAGTGAGGGGCGGGCCTGGGGCTGGCAGTGGGGGCGGCTGGGGGTATTTAGGGTTTACGTAGCTTTTCTTCTTTTCATTTCCTTTTAAAGGCTACATGTGTTGGTGAAGAAAAATACAGGGGCACACTGCATTCCTTTTTCTTATGCCTTTTATTTTTTTATTCAGGGTAGAAAATAGGCAACCACACAGAAGAGTCTAAAATAAAAAATACAAGTGTCCGTCCTTTCATAGCTAGTCCAGCTTCCAAGAGGTAGGTGCATACACTGTTTTCTCTCCTGTAGTGCTTTTTTTTTTGGCGGTATGCGGGCCTCTCGCTGTTGCGGCCTCTCCCGTTGCGGAGCACAGGCTCCGGACGCGCAGGCTCAGCGGCCATGGCTCACGGGCCCAGCCGCTCCGCGGCACGTGGGATCTTCCCGGACCGGGGCACGAACCCGTGTCCCCTGCGTCGGCAGGCAGACGCTCAACCGCTGCGCCACCAGGGAAGCCCTTCTGTAGTGCTTTTGCTGGTTACCTTTACAGCCTCAGATAATGTTTCCATTTCTCGATCGCTTAGCCTTAGTATCAGTTCCAGATACCCAGTGATAAAATTTAGATTTCTTCTTCCACCTCCCACCTCCTCTTCCACAACTCCTGGTTTTTGTTCAGCATATGACTTCTTGTATCATCAGAGTTTATAACATTCCCTTCTGTAGCTATAATGAACTCTTCTTTGCTGTGTCTGGAGATGGATTACAAAACAACAGCATTTGCGGTATTGCAATTATATAACCATTCATCGCTGCCGTGGGTCTGAATCCGTGAGGGAGGACACGTAACCCGTGTCAGGGGTCCTGCCCCGCCGCGGTGGGATGGGTCCAGCTCCTGAGTCCGGTGGGTCCTCTTTACATTTGTCTTCCATCTTTGGTCCTACGGGGCTGTCACGTTTCTTGCATCACATGTCATCTCTTAGGAGTCTTCTGTTGGACGGTGGATCCGAGGGGTCGGATGGGAGGTACCTCTTCCAGTAATTTTTTTTTTTTTTTCATTTGAAATGCACAGGGCATAAACCTTCTGAGATTTTGTGTGTTCAAAGATGTCTCTGTTTTGTCCACACATACAAGTAACAGGTTAGCTCGCTGAGATTTTCTAAATCATGTTCCCTTAGAAGTTTAAAGGCATTGCTCTGCTGTCCTCTTTTATCCAGTACTGCTGCCAGGAAGTCAGACTTTAGTTCTGCCACGATAAACTCTTTTGCCCTGAGTCTTTTAGAATTTTTTCCATATCTTTGAAGTCCTGAAGTGCTATAAGCTGTGTCTGAGTATGAATCTTTTTCTTTCTTTCTTTTTTTTTTTTGGCGGTACGTAGGCCTCTCACTGCTGTGGCCTCTCCTGTTGCGGAGCCCAGGCTCCGGATGCGCAGCCCCGGCGGCCATGGATTACGGGCCCAGCCGCTCCGCGGCATGTGGGATCTTCCCGGACCGGGGCACGAACCCGTATCCCCTGCATCGGCAGGCGGACTCTCAACCACTGTGCCACCAGGGAAGCCCTGAGTATGAATCTTTGTTACCCTTACTAATCCTACTCGGTACTTTGTGAAACTGTTGTAGCTGAGATCTTGGGTGTCTTCAGTGCATGAAAAAATTTTTTCCATTCCTGTATTTCTTTCCTGATGCTCCTTCCCCTTATTGCCTGTCTTCCTTCTTTGCGGATACGGGGCTTTGTAGAGCTCCCTTTCATCTCTCCTAGCCCCCCTCCCTTTGTCTGGGGACATAGCCTTGACTCCACAAGGAGGGCCATCATCTTGGCTGTTAGCCCTGCCGTATGCATTTTTCACTCCAGCCAGTGAAACTTTTCTGATATCACTTGCTTTCATTCTTCTCGAAGTTCCTAAAATTTTCTGGGATGCTAATGGATGTTCTCCCTCTATTTTTAGAACTGCTATAGTTTATTTAAAGAAAAATAACTCTTAGTAAATTCAGTATGACCTTGGTGGGAGGCCAGTAAGGCAACTAAATGCATGTGTTTAGCCACCACTGCACACCACTGATTTACGATGTCTCTTCCTTGCCTGGATCAGGTACATTAACCACGAATACAAGCAGGCGCCCGTCTCGCTGCCCTGACCTTTTGTTTGGTTGGTACGTATCGGCAGATACCACCCAGGCTGTCCCACTAACTTCCACCGCAGAGTTCCTGGTTGTAGGACACCTGACGCACGCTGCTGCCTTGGACACAGTGTGCGGGGTGGCGGCAGGTGAGGGAACATCCTCTTCTCTCTTAGGTTTGTGTGGCAGGTGGGAAGGGGTGCCTGGAGGAGGGAGGGACCTAGTCATTTCAGTAAATACGCTTACTGTGAATAGGGCCCAGTGCTGGACCCTGCAGGTGACTCAGGAAGGCATCAGAGACCATCCCTACTCTCAAGGCGTTTTCAGTCTCTGTACTGTTATCAGTTAAGATCTCAAATGCATATTGTAAAGGTGCAGTAAAGCCAATAGAGAACTATAGGCAAAAACCCTGTGGGGTCTGGACGGAGAATATACATCTGTATTAAGGAATAAGGAAGAGGTTGGACAGTGTGGTATTTGAGTTGTGTGTTGCAAGGTGCATAGGCTTCTGACAAGTGGTCTGTGGAAGAGAGCTCCTTAGGTGGAGAGAATGTTGGAAAAAAGTCCCAGGGCTTGGGAAAGAGAGACCATATTAGGGGAGCTAGAGGGTCTCTAGTTTGGTTAGAATACTGGATACTTGTTGAGAAGGAGGGTGAGGTATTTGAGATAATCGTTTGGGGTCTCAAGTGCCAAAGAGAGGGGTTTGAACTGAGTTTGCTAGAAAGGGAATTAGAAAAAGGCTGATCAGACAGGTAATCTGATAAAAGCTATTCTTTAAGACGATTAATCTGGTGGATCTCTGTAGGATGGAGTGAAATCTAACGGGTTAATTTGGGGCAGCCGATGTGAAGGTGAGACCTGGCCCCGACCTCAAGGGGCTCGCGGCCTGGTGGACGTGAAAACCTGGTTGCTTTGCCCAAAGAAACATTTAGTTAAACAACTTTTGAAAGAGCATATAGATGTATAAAATAGATTGTGTATATATATATATATATACACACACACACACTATATATATATAGAAGTTAATCACTGCTATACAGTAAAAATCAACTATGCGTCAGTAAGATAAATTAGAAAAACATATAGATGTAGTATATTACATTAATAGATTTTTAACTATAATTAATCTGTCGCCATAGCTATCTCTAATGATCAATTTTCTCATTATCTTAAATTATCTATTTTTATGAATGCAGTTAGAATGATCTGTTATGTTTTTATGCCATATATATTAAATGCTTATTACAAGTAGTCTTGCTTAATTTTATATTCACTGCTAGATGTTTAATCATCTAGAAATATAAAAAATTATATACATATATTATATATAAAAAATTATATATATATTGATTAATGGTTCATTTTGGTTAAAAATACCTGTAATTCATATCCTACTGTTTAGTTATTCAGAAAAAGAAGAGTTAGATTTGGGCTTGTCAGGGGTGGCTTAGTTAGTAAATCTTTCCCCTTAGGTTTCTCTTATTTCTTAGTTTTGGAGATCAATATACTTGAATTGGATTACTGGGGGGGTTTTTTTCTTCTTTTTTTGAGGGAGTGTCAGTAAAATTGCTTGTTTTGGATATTTCTTTTCCTCTTACATAGTCAGGTATTTGGAGAAAGTAGGGAATAAAGGCAGTTACTGTTTTTCAGTAACACTCATTTTACTCACAGAACATCCTCAAGTATTTTTCAAGCATCTTTTTACAACAGACTTAGTCAAAGGTGAAAGAGCTTAGCGGAAAGGGCCGTAAGGTTGTACTTTTAATGCTCTTTGAAAGCCAGAATCCCGAAGCGTATGCGCCTAGGTAGGGTCTGTGTGTTTGCTGTTTAAAGACCTTGACTGCACCCTCTGGGTTCGCAGGGTCAGCCCTCTGTCCTGATAATAGATGATTTCCTAGTGAGAGGGTGTCCGTGCTCTGTGATTACACGCCGTCTTTACGCTGCATCGGCCATCAGAGCGGTCCTTCGGAGAGCAGCGACGGAGACACGCAGCTTACGTGTTGCGGCTCACACCCGAGCCGCCTCTGCTTTCCTGTGACCTGGACCCTGGGGCGTTGAGGCCCCTGCACTTGGGTCCTGCAGCTCCTTCACATTCCCAGATGTCTTCTTTCCACACGTGTCCTCGGTGTCACCCTCCTGCAGCTCATCTCCCTCCTCATCCCGGAGATTCCGCCCCTAAAAAACAAACAGAGACAGAAACTTCAGGAATAAAAGCAGCCTTTCGAATGATCTGGTGGCTCAGAAGTCATAGAGATCCTAAGTCATCATCTCTTCCGTTGCCTTTGGGCAGAACCCACCTCGTGAGAAGGTCGGAGTTTTCAGAGTCTCCAGCGACAGGGGTGTCATAACCCATTGCCATATTTAACAGCCCTCGCTGTCAGGACACTCTTTCATCCCACTTAAATAATGCATGCATCCATGTTAGCCTGTGTGTTTTCTTCAGTGAATACGGAGCTGACTTACTCTCCCAGTGTGAGACTTTTCTGTTGTATTGGAAGACCGACTGCCCCATGGATACATCTCAGCTTCTGCAGCTCGTCTGTCATAGTATTTTCAAATATTATGTATAGAGGATAGTTGAGGGACTTCCCTGGTGGCGCAGTGGTTAAGAATCCTCCCGCCAATGCAGGGGACACAGGTTCGATCCCTGGTCCGGGAAGATCCCACATGCCGCTTTGCAACTAAGCCCGTGCGTCACAACTGCTGAGCCTCTGCTCTAGAGCCCGTGAGCCACAACTACTGAGCCCTGTTGTCACAACTACTGAGCCTGCGCTCTAGAGCCCGTGAGCCACTACTGAGCCCACGCACCTAGAGCCCGTGCTCCACAACAAGAGAAGCCGCCGTAATGAGAAGCCCGCGCACTGCAACGAAGAGTTAGCCCCCGCTCGCCGCAACTAGAGAAAGCCCACGCACAGCAACGAAGACCCAACGCAGCCACAAATAAATGAATAAAATAAGTAAATTTATTGGGAAAAAAAGAAGAAGAGTTGAGATGTAGGCAAAATCATCTGTATCTCTCTCTCCCCACCGAGAACCCTGCAGTTGTGTGTTCCTTTTGTTTGTGGGATTCAGGCGGGATCCCTAGTTGATGGGTTCCTAGCCATCTGGTAAGAGGCCCCCAGTGCTGGTGTGGGATCAGATGACAGTGGACACTTACTTCCGTGGCTCGGTGATGGGTTTCCTTCCCGCTGGGCCCCGATCTCCGTTTCTGAACCGGGTTTCTTGTTTTCCCAGTTTTGCCATTCTCCTGATGGCCGGGGTGGCTTGTCACTCACTGTGACGCTAGTGTGGTTTTTCCTCCACGTGCGTACATCGCCATGTATCTGGCACGTGTGGTCATCTCTAAGGTCTTCCCTCAGTGCCGCCCCTGGTTATTTTTTAAACATTTTAATATTGAGGTGAAATTTACATTATGTGAATTACAGTGTGGAAATCCTTAAGTATGGAATTACTGAGTTGTAACACATGTCCACGCCTGGATAACCAACATCCCTGTCAAGGTATATAGAATACATCTGTAATCTCAGGGATTTCCTCATGCCCTGTGAGGATTTATTTCCAGTACATGAGCTTTACCTGTTGTGGAAATCATGTAGATGTAATTTGTATATGTTTATTCTGATACATGTTTATTCTGATTTCCCACGTGTACACATCAGTACGTTGTCCTTTATTTATCTACTTTAAATAGCTGAGGAGTCCAGTGCCCATCTCCCGCAGATGGACGTTTGGGTTTTCGGTTTGGGGTGTTGTGAATAGTTCCGCAGGGAGCATTTCTATGTGGCTCTGTATGTGGACATGTCTTCATTTCTTGCAGTAACACCCAGGACTGGAATTGTTGGGTTGTGAGTAGGTGCGTTTGTAACTTTATAAGAAGTGGTCGAGCAGTTTTCCGGAGTGGTTGTACCATTTTAGACTCAACCTGTGTGAGTTGTTCATTCTGTGATATTGACAGCATCTTCTGTTGTCAGTCTTTTTAATTTTAATCGCTCTGATGGGTGTGAAATACGATCTCCTTCTAGTTTTATTTTATATTTCCCTGATGACTAAGGATGTTGAGTGCCTGTCTACTTCCTTTTCGAAGTGTCTGCTCAAATCTTTTGCCTGTTTTTCAATTGGGTTTGTTGGTTGTTGTTTATTTGCAGTTCTTTATATTTCCGAATTGAGGTCCTTTGTCATGTATATGTATTATAAATATTTCCCCCTATATGTAGCATGCATTTTTATCTTCTGAATTGTCTTTTTTGATGAACAGAATTTTTCGGTTTTGATGAAGTTCAATTTATAAAGTTTTATGGTTAGTTAAGATTTGTGGGGGGAGGTGAGGGAGGTCTGCCTCATCACTAAGATAGTATCCTGTGTGTTCTCCTAGAAAACTTATACAGTTTTAGATTTTACATTTGATTCTGGGATCCATCTCAAGTTATTTTTTGTATGTGATGTGAGGTAGGGGTCAAGATGCCTTTTTCCTCCACGGGCTGCTAAGTGTTCCAGATCCATTGTTGAAAAGACTTTCTTTTCCCCAGTTGAATTGCCTTGACACTTTTGTCTAATTGTCCATATATGCATGGCTCTATTCCAGTGTTGTTTCAGTTCTGAAACTATGAACTGTCTTTCAGATTTGATGTCGTGTTTAAATTATGTGAGCATCTCTCTCCACTGCATCAATGAAAACACTGGACACAAACATTTAAACCAGGCAGTTGAACTAGAGGTCTCACCTGACCTTCCCGTTTAGTATGAAAACCTGCTCCTACCCCCGCCCTGCCATGTTTCTGGCTCTCTCCCTACCTCCCTGGGTTTCTGTGAGGGTTGGATGGGGGCTGTGCAGAGCCCATCATGCAGGACCGTTCTTCCCCACGACTCCAGTGGCAGGTGGGAGGTTCAGGCAGGGCTGGGGCACGGGCCTTGCCAGGAATCTAGCTGTCTTCCAAATAGAAAGTTGACTTTTTACCGGGAAGTGTCCCTCATCCTGCCATGAATCCTCAAGATGGCAGCTCAAGTTACTGCAGCAAATTTTCCCAGTAAATTTTCCTGCTCTCTGCAAAATATTATCATAATTATTAAATGTGATGAAACAGAGAAACTAATATTCAGAGCAATGAGCGACATGAATTTCCTGCATTTTAGTTCAGTGACTGTATTCTCAAGAGCTCTCTGCCCTTGGAAACATCCATAAGATTTGTTTTCTTTAATGGTTTGTCTGTCAGTTGTACACTCCCGGTTTAAAGGCCACCCAAGAAAAAGAAGCTGTCTATCAGCTGTGTGACTGTTTGCTTATAACCACCAAAAGAGTCTGTAAGGAAGATACTTGTTTGCTGTGGTGTGCTGCAGACTTTGCTTCACGTTTTTCAAATGCCAGCAATTCACTCAGTCCAAAGCCCTCAGCTGCCCTCTTCCAGGGCATATCGCGTTTTTAGCTATGTTTCTAGCACACGCTGAAGTGGACACCAGTGAGCGGTAGCGGCTCACGCTTCTCCAGGTTCTCCGCGTGCACCTCGGTGTGCCAGGCTCCCCGGCAGCCCCAGGGGACGGGGAGTGACAGGCCTCCTTCCTCCTGCTGTTCCCCTGTATCTACCTCGCACTGTGCCCCAGAGGAGGTGCTAAGAACAGTCCACAAGGGTGGGTAGCTGTCCCCAAGCAACACGACGCACGCGTGGAGGCGTGTGGTCCGTGTGTTCACAGCTGGTGAGCCTGACCCACTGTAGAATCGCCTTATTAAGCGGCTTTCCCTTTGGCTGTGGTTTTTCCCACTTTGCCATCCACACTGCAGCACTCAGCCCGCTAGCGATGACGTTCATTTGTTCATGTATTCGTCCAGCAGGGATGTCATCGCAGGCACTGAGGCGGGTGCTCATGATGAGAGATGGCCATGCAGCTCAGGTGCACAGGTCTTGCGCTCTTGTGGGGACCAGGCTGTGAGCCGAGTGATGGGTGGATGTGAGAACCGTGTGCCCAGGCGCGGGATGAGCAGCCCCTTCTCCAGACGAGGGGCGGGGGGTGTCCTCCCCACGGAGGCCGCACCCGCTCTGGTCCTAAAGCAGGCGTGGCTTCTGCGTCTGGGAAACGGTCTGTCCTGTTGACCTGCACCCTGAACTTGGTCTTATTTACATCTGATTCCAAACAACAGAGGCATCCGTCCCAGACAGAAAACTGTAAGTGGGAGAAACCCGACCTCCTTGTCAACTAAGCACGTGTCCAGGGGCTGGGGGCCCTCCGGGTAGGAAGGTGGGGTTGAGGGGGGCTGCCCTGTGGCCTTCGGTGGAGGGCTGTCTCAGTCCGTTCGGGCCGCTCTCATAAAATACCACAGACCGGGCAGCTTGTAAACAACAGAAATGATTTCTCGCTGTTCCAGCGGCTGGGAAGTCCAGGATCAGGTGTCTGGTGGAGGCCCCCTCCTGGGTCCACAGCTGGTACCTCTCACTGTGTCCTCACAGGGCAAAAGGGATGAGGGATTTCTCTGGGCCTCTTTCATTAGGGCACTGATCCCACTCTCGAGGGCTCCACCCTCTTGACCTAAGCACCCACCTCTACACCATGACCTCTACACCATCGCCTCTACACCTTCACCTTTGGGGGGACGCAGACAGGCAGACAGTAGCCAGGAGGCGTGGCACGTTCGAGGCCGGAGGTGATGAAAGCAGACTGCTTCGCTTGCTGAGGGTGGAAAATATGACGTGAAAGCATCCAAAAGGAGGTCCGTGAAAGTCATGGTGTAGCATGTTAATCTGATTGAAGAGGGTAACCGGGATCATCTTCAGATTCCAGAGACACAGGCGGTGTGGCCAGGCCCACGCTTCCAGAACTGCTCCCGCTGCTGCTGTTGTGGCCCTTTGGTTCTCTTGTCCCCTCTCTAATTCTTAGGGTTTTAATTTTTATTTATTTATTCTTTATTTTTATTTTTTTTTGCAGTACACAGGCCTCTCACTGCTGCGGCCTCTCCCGTTGCGTAGCACAGGCTCCGGATGCGCAGGCTCAGTGGCCATGGCCCATGGGCCCAGCCGCTCCGCGGCATGTGGGATCCTCCCAGACCGGGACACCAAGCCGTGTCCCCTGCATCGGCAGGCAGACTCTAAACCACTGTGCCACCAGGGAAGCCCTCTTAGGGTTTTTAATCCCCTAAATACAGGTCTTTTCCTTTGGCCTCCGTCTTCCCTATAGCACTGCCTATGACACTGTGCTCTGGACAGGGCTCTCCTGGACAAGTAGGAGAGGGGACGGGGGGGTGGGCCTGACTGCACCCCACACAGATGTATTTATTGATCCTCAGTATTATGATTCCTGGAGAAACAGTTAGCAGAGTCTCATATCAGTTCTTCTTAAGTTTGGAGAACTCTTCTCTTCACTTTCTCCCCGGATGTTTGAACATAATTACTTGACTCGAACTAACTTTGTTATGTCTCTACATTTAGTTAAGTACTGGTTAAGTTGCCAGTTATGTATCATCATTCGAGTCTGTAGCAGCGAGAGTGCAGTCCAGGGAAATGGGTGAGAAAGCTGCTGCTTCATCTCCTCTCTTTTTACCTTTAGTTTATTTTTTTTTTTCCGTCTCTCTCTCTCTCTCTCTCCCCGACCCTTCCCTACAACGTTAATGCCACTAAAACAAGGCTGGAAAGTGTCCCCAGCTGCTTGCTTGCTCAGGAGATGCTCTGGGAGGAGAGGAGTGTGGGAACGCGGGAGGGGTGTGAGGAAGAGGAAGGGGGAGGGTGGTAGGAGGAGGGGCGGCCGCGTGCCACAGAAAGCAGGCAGGCTAGCCGGGGCAGCCCTGTTCCATGGTGGGTGGAGGGGCCAGGTCTGGGCAGAGGAGACGGTTGGAGGCAGGGAAGGGGACACTGGCCCAGCAGAATAAGGACAAACAAAGAATAAACGCGAGTGAAAAAAACATGGTTTTCTTCATTTCTGTCTATACGCAGCGGCTGTCCTCCAAGTGCTGGTAGATACGGTTGAAGTCAGTCTGATGAGAAAATGTTATGTGGCAAATGGAGGTGGAGGCTTAAGAAAGTGATCAGATCAAAATGCCCCGGCAGAGTGCTGTCCACATAGAAATATTAAAGGAAAGAGCAAGTAAAATGATGGGCTTTCGTGGGATTATGGCATTCACAGCCCCTTCTGCTGTTGCCTTGGAAAAATACCTCGTAACATTCATCTTGGATGTTTGTTATATTGAAGAGGAAACATTTCAAGTTCTGATCAAGTCGTATTTGAGTGGTAATCCAACCCAGAGATTCTGAGAACAGCACTTAAGACTTATTCACTATTAAAGAATCAGTATTTTAATGAAATGCTGTTATGTCCAGAGAGATACTTCACTTTGTGGGGGGTAGGGAAAAGCCAACATGTATTTTGTGTACAAGGAACATTTAAACAGTCTTTTCCTAAACCATTTTGCTACCTGTTACTCTGTGTGCAGTGCTTAGTGCTTCCTATCTGGTTATTTCTTTGGGCCTCAGTTCTTTCTGGAAAGTTTTTGAAAGTCAAGTTGCAACCAGCCAGAGTCTATGCCAATTGAAATACAGCTAAACTATTAAATTATACACATTTTATGGCTTTCCGGTGACAAGCATATCTTCTAGATGTTCTTTTTAGTAGGTCTTTGAATCTTTTTTTACTTAATGGAGCAGTAAGAAACGCATGAAGGAATTTGAATTTAGAGAGGCTGTCTTGCATGTGTATCTGGGCGCTGGCATTTAGCGTCTGTAAAATCAATTGGCAGTGAATGTTTTATTTACCTCTTAGGATCTCAGCTAGATCATCAAGCAGCGCTCTGCCAGAGATATTGGAATACAGTCGATGGTACGGAAACGGAGTGGAAAGCAGTGAATCAGAAGTATTTGCGTGCCGGTCTCATGAGGATTTTAATGCCCTGTAAAATACCTGTGTATGTAATGGGGAAGCAAAAATTATTGGAAAAGTAGAAACGGGCGCACTGGCATAGTACTCTTTTGTACACGAGCGAAATAGTCACTGTTTACCGAAACGTTATCACACCTCAAATTGCCTAAACTGCCCAGCTCTTTGCCGAGGCCTGAGTGGCAGCTGCAGGGCGAGGTTGGCCGCAGTGCCGGGCTCTCTGCAGCCTCTTGGCTTCTGAGCCTCCCTTTCATGTGTAGCCAAGTGAAACGTGAGCTCTGCAGATACTGCGGCCTTGGCCGGGCAGCAGCTTGGAAAGGCTGCCGAGGGCCAGGAGGCCAGGGGCCGGGTGAGGCCACGACTCCCAGGCCTTTGCAGGGCAGTGACCGAGGGGCTCTGAGGTTCCAGGCACGTTTCCCTGCGAGCCCAGGCCTGGGCTCTCTCAGGCGGTGGTTTTGGCTTCATCCTTCAGACGCTGCGTGAGGAATATGCAGTCTTTATTGCTCTTCAGTCGCTTAACCGTTTCTCCTTCACCTTCCACGATCTGTGTGGCGATCAGTCTTTTAAAAGATCAGTGCACTTCACTGGATTTGAAATCAGGGTGGGGTTCGTTTTATTTCATACAGGAAGCCTTCTTTGGGGAAGTCTGACACAATTGGATTTTCAGCCTCTTGGAATTTAATTGGAAAAGCACAGCAGAGAAGGACAGGGCCGGGTGCCCGGGTGTCCGCTGGTGGGTTAGGTGGCCCTTGACCTCGGGATTGCTTCTCTGTGGCTCCCGGTCACTGGGAGAAACCGATTCACAAATCAGTGTGAGTTGGTGCGTTTCCGGTGGCAGTCAGGGATGTAACCGGGCTGACCGTAACGCACATCACTGTTGCCTGAAGTTTTATTCTTGCTGCTCATGTGTTAAGAATGTTGGATGATTTTAGGAACACTTAGTAGAATTGCTTTGATGGGAATGTTAGTAAGTCCATCAGGCCGCCGGTGCGTGGAAATGATCTACGGAGAAATACATTCCTTCCCTCCCACACCAGCACGTGAGAAAAGAGCCGTCCTGTGGGTCACTGGGGAGCTGACAGGTCTCCCCAGGGAGCAGTCCAAGCGGTCCTGAATGCCGGATCTGGGTCTCGGTGCTGCGTTTGGCTGGCCCAACAGAACTAATCGAGGTGGGGAGAAAACCGAGAGGACAGGCCCTAATGGTGCACCGAGCTCTCCGTCACCGAGCCAGTAATAGGATCTTCAGTTAATTCACACAGCTTTCCAGCTCCCTGCACTGGCCCTGCCAGGATGAGATACAGCCTCTCACAGAACGCCACCCCCTACTAGACAGGGCGTGTCGGTGCGTCTGTAATTTCTTCTGTTCACCCAGAAGATGAAAACAAACGTGCGCTTCAGAAACGCCCCCCGTGAAGTCCCGACGCCTCCCTAGGAGGAGCAGGCTTTGGGTTGCTGCACAGTGAGTGTGCTCTGGAAATGCCAGTGCTGTGTGAATTCGTGCAAAAGGAGGCGTATACGGCTGCAGAGACGGAAGTGTCTTCAGGTGCCCTGGGTCCCTGCTGACCCGCCCTTCCTGCTGGGCGGTGGCAGTGATGGCGCGTCTGCCCACCGGCCGCTTGCGGTGGTTTACACGCTTTGCTTCTCTTGGTCCTCATGGCACCCTGAAGGTGAAATTAGGCCCGGAGAGGCTCACCTGCTCAGGATCACACAGCAGGTGAGCAGCTGGGCTGGGATCCCGGCCGCAGGGCTACCAGTCATGTCGCCAGGGCTGTGTTCCGAGCGCCAGTTCACTCCTCCGGCCGTGTCGCTCAGAGCGCTGTTTACTGCTTGTTTATTTACTGTCATTTCCTCCAGTGTGTCTTAGGAAGCATTGTTGAACTGTGACTACCAGACTTCCAGAAACACACGGTAAAGTAGAGGACGAGGCGAGGCCCTTCTGTGAGAGGGGACGGGACCTACGACCCTTCCCTGAAGCCAGCACGGCAAGACTGCAACCCCGGTTCAAAGGACTGGGCGGGGCTTCCCTGGTGGCGCAGTGGTTGAGAGTCCGCCTGCCGACGCAGGGAACACGGGTTCGTGCCCCGGTCCGGGAAGATCCCACGTGCCGCGGAGCGGCTGGGCCCGTGAGCCGTGGCCGCTGAGCCTGCACGTCCGAAGCCTGTGCTCCGCAATGGGAGAGGCCGCAACAGTGAGAGGCCCGCGTATCGCAAAAAAAAAAAAAAAAAAGCCAAAGCAAGGACCGGGCGGCATCAGCGTCCCGCAGGGGAAACCGAAGGGTGCATTGGAGTAGTCGATGGGGTTCGGTCAGGCCTGGGTGACGGGGGTCGTGTCGTTAGAAGCAGGGTCCGAAGATCAGAGGGCCTTTGCAGGGTCCAAGGACTTCTGGAAGGCTGGGCTCCGGTGTCCTCCGGAGCAGCTCCTGTTAAGCAAACCCAGCAGGCCACGGGCGAGGCTGGCCAGGCCCCCCGCCCGCGGCAGTCGACAGCAGCAGCCGGCTCTTCCTCTGACGCCAAGCAAGAATACCTCACCAAGCAAAGCTGGGCCAGACGCTGAATCTCTGACTGGAAGCTAAACTAATTATGCAAAACTATGTTAGGAAGTTCTGTTGCCATCAGGGTTTGATCCACTTCTTTGGAGGGGGCGGGGGCAGGGAGAGACTTTAAAATAGCTTAAAAAAAAAACTATCGCCGTCCCCCTGCCTGCCCGCCCCCCGCCCCTTCTCCCCCCCCCCCCGCCCCCGGCCGGACTCGCCCTCCTGGCAGGGTTCTTCCCGCCTGGCGCTGCCTGAAGGACACAGCAGTTGAGACACTTCAGCCTGTCACTTGGGGCCCCTGTAAGCTGCCTGCCCACCTGTGTGCACTCACATGCCTGCTCCCTCCTGAGCATTGCGTTCTCCGTCAAGCCAGTCCCTCTGCCCCACGTGCTCCTTGCCTTTGGAGGTGCTGCCCCCAGCGCCCCTGCGTTTCTCTTTCTTTCTTCTTTTCCGGCTTTCCTGCTGGCTCCTCTTGTCTCCTTGAAGATGTGGCTCGTGTGTCCCTTCCTCCAGGAAGTGTTTCAATTTCCCACCCACTCCACCCCAAGACCTCTGCCCTCTGCTGCTGCCACAGCTCGGTCCCTGCGTCCCCGGGTCACTCAGTCCCTGCCCTCTGGCCTAACGACTTCTAGAGCCTTGTCCCTTAAGGGGAACGGCTGTGCCTGTCCCTCTTTCAGTCCTCAGCACTCGCACACCACCTGGGAAGAAGGGAAAGCTTGATAAATGTTTTCCGGATGATGAATAAATGAGTAAGTATGGAAAAAGCAGGAGCTCAGGAATCTCCTTCAGTGAATTACTTTGGCTGTTTGACGTGCCGTTTATCCTCTGAATCAGGGGTAGGCAGCCGTGACCCGGAGAGGCCAGAAGTCGTCTTAAAGTGACACCTAATGCTCAGGAAGGGCACCTCCAGTGCCACCGGAGAGGGAGTATCATATCCAGTCCATTTGGTGATTAGATTGCCTGGGGGCACACGCACGTGTTAAAGCCGTCACTTAAAACCATAATGCAGTGTGGTCACATCCAAAACCCCATCTGTTAGCATCTCAGCCTGACGGTGCTCTCTAGGCAGGAAAGAGCAAAGGGGGAGTGGTCATATGTAGGTTGTAAAGGCTATGTGTGCATGATCACGGGTTATGACCTCTGAGCGGCCGGGAGCAGTGCCTCACCTCCTCACGGCCGTTCCAGACCCCGGCACAGAGTTGGCCCCAGCTCATCCCTGAGTCCACGAAGGAGAAGGAGCTGCTGCCCACAGTGAATGCCGTGGGAAAAGTTTTCCCCAAAAGCCAAACTCTGATGTTTATCTGTCAAGCTTAAGAGCAGTTAGTAAATGAATGAATTGTTCTGAGTTTTTCCTCCCCTTCTTTTTTTTTTGGTGCTTATCATTTATCCTGCTGAGTAAAGTAGTTAATAGCGGAAATTAAGTTTTGTATGAGTTTTTGAGTTTTACGCCAGGAAGCCAGACACAGCAGCACTTCCATGTACTAAAAACCCCAAATAAGGCAAAAGCCTCACTAAATTAGCCTTAGGAACAGAATGCCAGCTCAGGGGCCGGGGACGGTCTCCTGTTTGTTTTGTTTGCTCTTGGTGACACGTACGTATACAGTTTTTGTTTTTTTTTCCGGTACGCGGGCCTCTCACTGTTGTGGCCTCTCCCGCTGCGGAGCACAGGCTCCGGACGCGCAGGCTCAGCGGCCACGGCTCACGGGCCCGGCTGCTCCACGGCATGTGGGATCTTCCCGGACCGGGGCACGAACCCGTGTCCCCTGCATCGGCAGGCGGACTCTCAACCACTGCGCCACCGGGGAAGCCCAGTATACAGCTTTTTAATGTGAGGTTTTCTTTGTAGGGCAAAGTGTGGAGTTGACCTTGACTTAACAACCATGATAATACAGTTGGATTTTCAGACATGTGGGGACCGTTCTTTCATTAAAACTCTTCTCTTTCCTTTAGGGAATACCTCAGTTACCATGTGCCAAAGCATTATACAACTACGAAGGCAAAGAGCCCGGGGACCTTAAATTCAGCAAAGGTGACATCATCATTTTGCGGCGACAAGTGGATGAAAATTGGTACCACGGGGAGGTCAACGGGGTCCATGGCTTTTTCCCCACCAACTTCGTGCAGATCATCAAACCGTTACCTCAGCCCCCGCCTCAGTGCAAAGCACTTTATGACTTTGAAGTTAAAGACAAGGAAGCCGACAAAGATTGCCTTCCGTTTGCAAAGGTAAAGTGAGAACAGCATCGCCTTCTCTGTACCTGACTGCATAGACTGTGGCTTCTGTTTCCTTGTGCAAAAACATATGATAGTTTCATGTGAACTATCTCACTGTGCTTCTAAAAATATCTGGAAGCAGGCTTCTCAGAGTCACAAAGACAGTAATTTTGTGCACAAACTGTTCTCTGTGAAAGATAATTTTGGTTGATGTGCTGTGTGGTATCATTTTCGTATTTAGGGCCTAAATGTAATTCTGAGCTACGTTTCGGGGTGTGTGTGCGCCATTCGGGGATTTTAATTCCCTGAATTATGGATAACAAAGTGAAACGTCATTGCTTCCTTATTTTATATGAAAATTTCTTTGCTGCAAAGCACACAAGACTATCTACTGAATTGATAAAATGCTTTGGGATTTTGAGCAGAATGTTGTGTTTTTTTTGGTAAAGAAAAACAGTAGGGTGTACACTTAAATGGGTATTTAGTGTATTATCAGAGAAAAAGTGAAAAGAGCCTGAAAATTAATCTGGACCAGGGGTTCAGGGGGCCTGGGTGGGATTTGAGGTTGCAATTTGTGGGTCTAAACAAATTCAGCCGTCAGCCCCTCGGTGGAGGGGCTGGTAGTTTACAGCTGTCTGTTCTGATGGGGGAGGCCAAGCTGACTGCTAATTACCATTCAGTTCATCAGCTTCTTCCGTTCACATCCTGAAGACACGTCATGGAACTTTTACTCATGTACTCTTACGACTTGAGTCCCATACTGAAAAGAAAATTAGGTGGCGAGCTTCCTGGGATGAGGTAGAGTAACGTTCATTGTTTCTTCAGGATGACGTTCTGACTGTGATCCGCAGAGTGGACGAAAACTGGGCTGAAGGCATGCTGGCAGACAAAATAGGAATATTTCCAATTTCGTACGTTGAGGTAAGTCCGTCTGTAGAAACGTCAGTTGTGTTCGTGTTCTGCTTAGCAAATCAGTCTTCAGTGTGCAATTTGAGTATTCAGAAATCCTCAGGATCACTTCTCACTATGTACCTGCATCGCATCATTATTGCACACCTTGAACTGATACAGTGTTACATGTCCATTATGTCTCAATAAAACTAGGGGGAAAAAAAGAAAGACAAAAACCTAATCGATTAATAAAAAAAAAAAGCCCTCATAGCGCAAAGCCCCAGGAATGCAGCTGTTCTAAATCCTGGGATGGAATTCCTCTACCCTGCCCTACAATTCCTGAGGACCAGGAGACTGGGAAACGTTTGAACTCTGCACTTTGTCCCCTGCTAAGGGCATCGGTGTGTCTGTTGAGTGGGACCTTGGGCTCCCTGCCGGCCCCTGTGCTGTCTGCAGCCACTCTTTTCTGTCGGCAGCTGTGTGGTCAGAGGCTGGCGAAGGTCCCGACTAAGGTGAGAGATGCGTGTTTCTGTCTGTTGACGCGTTCTTCCACGTGCCCCACGCCTCAGAACTGCAACAGTGATTTGCACGGTAGCCTCCAGAAAACGTTAAATAAGCAATGAACCACCTTCACCCCATCCCAGCAATAACGAGCCACGCTGCCCCCTTTAACCAGCTTTACTCGGAAAGGCATGGCCCACCCGATTCAGCGAAGTCTTCAGCGAAGGCTTTTTAGGAATATGTGCAAATTAACATGTATTATTTTAAAGAATAACACAAATTAAGAATGAACTAGGAAGTTACATTCTGCCTTATTACATCATATATCATAAACTTTCTTTTTTTTTTTACATCTTTATTGGAGTATAATTGCTTTACAATGGTGTGTTAGTTTCTGTTTTATAACAAAGTGAATCTGTTATACCTATCATAAACTTTCATGTCCTTTAGTCATGAGACTCTCATGTCAAAAACAAAATTTGAAGGGATTTTCAAAGAATGAAAGACCAGCCCAAACAACCGTACAAGGTTAGCTGAGGTCACAGAAGGCTTCTGGGAAGAAGCGATTTCTTAGTGATGTCTGTGTCCTGGGTAAATGTGCATGGAAAAGGTGCATTGTTATGGCAGAAAAGACACCCGAGCCGCACAACCAGCAGGTGCACAGGCCAGAAAGTAAGAGACAGCACAGATCGGGAAACTGAGAGTAATTCTCTTGTTTAAGATATCAAAGCATGTATCTTAAGATGTAAAAAAAGAAAACCCACACCACTTGTATTCCCGTCTTTTCACCTGAGGCATTTATTTTGGCGTGGTTCTGAGGACAAAAATGACAAATTGTGTCATCGTAGCCAGCGTTCAGTCTCCCCACAGACTGTGAGATGGCCAGCGTTTTCCTAGTAGAACTCCCCTGGACTACCGTGAATCTGTGGAAAGGTAATTCAGACCATGTAAAAAGCCTTGAAGTGTATCCGTATCCTTCAGCTGTTCCTGTTGATTAAAATATGTTTTCCTCCTTTGAAAGTAAACAGTAGAAAAAAAATTCTTAGCTCTCAGGTAATCCTTCCTGCACATTACTTACATATTCTAACTGCGGTCACAAAAAGTTACACGCGTTCCCAAGCATCTGAATCGTTACAGTGAGGAGTGTGGGTACCGCGAGCTTAGTTGTGAGAGCCTGTCTTCGCTTGCTGGGTATTAGCAATACTACTTGCTAGCACTTGGCGTGTGAGGCGTGGAAGAGGATTGCTGTGCTTTTGTTACTGGACAGGTGTAGAGTTGCGTGATAGGCATAACAGATCCACCCACGGCAAACCCAGAGTCACCGAGAGTCACCTGAGTCATGAGGATTATTTACTCTGACTTCGGTTGGAAAGATAAACTTCTGCCCAAGTGGAAAATACTTTCATTCTTCTGCCTCTTTTCTTTCACAAGAGTATTTTCCTCATTTGAACCACAGTTTTGCCAGTTGAGACGAGGTGAACAAATCATCTCTCCCGGGGAGACCGTGAGCTTCCCTTTGATGTAAGGCCATAGGATGGAAGTTTCTGGCACCTGGGGATTAGCATGGGGATTCAGCCTTTAGGGGAAGAAGGGGTGGCAGATTTCAGTAGCAACCTACCGAAATTCAGCCGTTCATGTAAAGCGTAGACTGTCTTACAGGGCAGCCTCACATGGAGCGAAGCCAGCTAACCATGGGAATCAAAAACTGGGGCTTTTTCCTGAATAATGTCTTTCTCTTGCTCTGTAAACCCTTTTAGGGTCCAGACCATACCTCACTGTAAAAACAGACTGTGTTACAAAAATCCACTTGCAAGTTATTTTCTTATCCCTTGTAGATATACATTTAGGTTTCCACCAGTGTTAGGTGCTTTTGTTTTTTTTTTTTGCGGTACGCGGGCCTCTCACTGCTGTGGCCACTCCTGCTGCGGAGCGCAGGCTCAGTGGCCATGGCTCACGGGCGCAGCCGCTCCGTGGCACATGGGATCCTCCCGGACCGGGGCACGAACCCGAGTCCCCTGCATCGGCAGGCGGACTCTCAACCACTGCGTCACCAGGGAAGCCCCGCTTTTGCTTTTTTCACGGTGCTGCTCCCCCAGACTGTTACCCCCCAAGGTGTGAGAAGGTTGTGTGTGATGGTGTGTCTCAGAGGACCTGGCCCTGCTGTGTCCTGTGCACCATGGTTTGGAGCTCAGATCGGACCGTGACCCAAAGGATAGCAGCGGTCCTATAAGAGAATCTCAGCGCCACATCTTGTGAGGAAGTGAGTTCAGAACTGAGTCTGCAGAGTGGCATCTGGGCTTGTCACAGCGGAAGCTGGAACCCCGACTCCTGCTGGGTGGCTGGTTCGTGGAGATGCCCGTGGAACTTGCCTGGGGCAGAAACTCTGAGCAGGATGGGCTAGGGGGTGGGATGCAGGCCTGGAGCAGGACCTCTGGGGTCGAGTTGGGAGCTGAGTGTCAGCGGTGGCTGAGCAGAGAGCCGAGTCGGGGGACCCAGGGCATGAGAGGCAATGGTGGGGTGCTGTGCCCTTCCCATCCCTGCTCCCCACCTCCCTTCCGCCTTCCCCTCCAGCACCAGGACTGTGCACCGGGCTCCCCACCTGTATCACAGGAGGTGAGAAAACGGTGACCTGCCGACAAATGACCTCTGATTAAAGTACCAGATTCTGCAGAGTTTGAGCAGAGAAGGAGAGTCTGGCTGGGGGTGACTAGGCAGAGAACGGCCACGTGAATGTCCTTGAATTCTGCCCCTCGGTCTCTGTAAAGGTGAGGGGTCTCCTGCCTTGATCACCATCACGCTCCCCTGGACACTCTCCCATCAGAGCCCCGAGGCTGTGGGTTCTGTTCTGTAGGGAAGGAAGATGTTTCTTGGGGAAACCCAGGGGCCTCTTGGAGACAGCGTGTCAGGATATGTGTAAAGGGGTGTATTTGTCGAGGAGTGAGTGCGCTTTTAAAAAGGAATCGGTAGCTTGCTCTTTGTTTTGTTCAGAAATATCGGGCTTCTCCA